ATAGGACCCTGGCTATATACACTGTCAGATATCCATAGGACCCTGGCTGTTGCGAGGACGTTACACCCAAAGCAATCAAACTTAAATATCTGGCAAAAACCACACATTAATAATCAATTTTGTTGATAGTGATTTATAACTTAAAACGTAAAACATTTCAAAAAATCAAATATTCATATCAGTACATGAGCAAATATTTTCTGCATAATATAAGCATATTTCATACCAAATATGGAACTATTTTTATAGTAGCTTATCACACAGCCGACAGAGAAGGGTACTCGTTATGTCTTAAGACAAAATTCAAGTAGACCAGGAAGTGATTGTGGTTGCATTTATCATACTATATGATAAACAGCAGCAAAGTACATCCTTATCTGGAGAAGTTCAAATGGGCAAGAAATAGAACAATTGGCGCTAAGGTAAAGACACGTAGATATGTGTAAAGTGACAAATATGTTAAGCCACATTATAACACGTAGATATGTGTAAAGTGACACGTGTTAGGTCATATGATAACACATTGTCATGTGTGAAGTTAAATATGTGCGAGGACACATGCTGTCTCACATCAGGGACAAACAAAGTACTACATTTAGAGACGACAGCAATATACAAATTGACATACTGAAAACATCAGGAACGAAAAAAATCTGAATACTGAGACAACGGCAAAAAACTCACTTAGATACTAAAACGGACCTTTACATACAGAGGCGACGGCTATATACACAGTCAGATATCCATAGGATCCTGGCTATTTACACTGTCAGATATCCATAGGATCCTGGCTATATACACTGTCAGATATCCATAGGACTCTGGCTATATACACTGTCAGATATCCATAGGACCCTGGCTATATACACTGTCAGATTTCCATAGGACCCTGGCTATATACACTGTCAGATATCCATAAGATTCTGGCTATATACACTGTCAGATATCCATAGGACCCTGGCTATATACACTGTCAGATATCCATAGGACCCTGGCTGTTGCGAGGACGTTACACCCAAAGCAATCAAACTTAAATATCTGGCAAAAACCACACATTAATAATCAATTTTGTTGATAGTGATTTATAACTTAAAACGTAAAACATTTCAAAAAATCAAATATTCATATCAGTACATGAGCAAATATTTTCTGCATAATATAAGCATATTTCATACCAAATATGGAACTATTTTTATAGTAGCTTATCACACAGCCGACAGAGAAGGGTACTCGTTATGTCTTAAGACAAAATTCAAGTAGACCAGGAAGTGATTGTGATTGCATTTATCATACTATATGATAAACAGCAGCAAAGTACATCCTTATCTGGAGAAGTTCAAATGGGCAAGAAATAGAACAATTGGCGCTAAGGTAAAGACACGTAGATATGTGTAAAGTGACAAATATGTTAGGCCACATGATAACACATTGTCATGTGTGAAGTTAAATATGTGCGAGGCCACATGATGTCCCGGAGACATATGTACGTTGACAGCTCCTTTGCTGAATTGCGATTTAAAATAACAATGTTATAAAGTAAACTAAACTTTTATTTTTGTGATAGAATATTTGAAATGTATATCGAATAAAATATAAATACAAATGTACATTTTCTTACTTTCTGTGAATTTGACTTATTAATGTTGTCGAGGTCGGCTATTGGCGATATAATACTTTCCTTCGTACGTCTTTCAGCTTTGATATTAAATGTTGTCGACATACATCGGATTAAATATTGTGTCTGTAACTCACCTGGTTCGGTTTTTTCCAAATTTGTTTAAATGTATTACCTGACCTAATTTTAAGTTCACAGGGGGTAAATATATTGAACTATTCACAGACTTCTTTAGATCCACATTGTATAACATAATTCTATTTTGGGCCAATTTTGTTCAAATCATAGATCATAAGGACATCATGAATGTCTACAATAATGATATTATGACTAGGTTGCCTGGATGAAAGATCATCGTTTTTTTTATTAATAACGACTCTACCATGAACTACTTAAAGGTCATAGGTTAAATTTGTTAAACTCTCAAATGGCTTCTCAAGATCTCTGAGGTTAAGTGCAATGAAATTTCGCTTGTGGCTTGCCGGAATGAATGGCTTTCACTTATTTGTCAAACTATATAAACCTTGAGTCATTTTCTACTTCATAGGAGCCAAAGTGTGTGTTAAAAATCTTCAAATAATTGGCTATTAAGTTTGCCAAAAGTTTTGTCTGGGACCGATTTGAAGGTATCATGAGTAAAAAACTTCAAAGTCCCTACAAAATGATATTTCGACTACATTGAAAGCTTCTTTGAAATCAAGTTTATTTTAAGAGTGATCTTGGCCTACTTTGAAGGTAACGGATGTGATACATATTTACCAACACTATTCAGTAAAACAGGTAGATGATACAGGCTCGTTTGGCCTCTTGATGATATGGTAGTCGGGTACATTTTAATACAGTACCTTCAGTGATTAGTACGCGTTGTCTTTTGGTGTTTATGATGAAAAAAAAATATTTGGTTTACACAATGGGTAAACAGGGATGATATAATTTTGTACAGACTTTGTTTGTGCGACATTTTATAACCGCTACAGCAAATAATTGCGCACTTCAAAGATAGCTCGACCTGGATCACAACCTGGCAGGTATAAATCATGTGTACTGCAGTTTATTGATAACAAGGTAGTGGTGGTTAAGTCAACATTAGACGTCACACATATACTGATAACAGACCCCGATACAAACAAGATGGCGTTGTGTAACATGGCCTCGCATTACATTTTCCTCGTTGTTCTGGTTTCCTCTTCTGTCCATGGAATGGACTGGTCACAGTAAGTAGACGGTAACCTTTTATATAGTGTGGATTTTTATTGGTCAAGGATTTTTATTGAATTACTTACGTCCGGATCCTCTAGGACGTGATAACAGTCCACACACTGCGTATTAGATGCTATTAAGGACTCGAGCTAATACTACTTGATTTCGTTTGTCAACGTTAGAGATTGTGAACACAATATCCATAACATATTGAGTATTTCCAGAATATTTTCCTAAAGATATTTTCAATGTTTTGAATTTGTTTTCTTTTTCAGTCCAAATGAATATTATAAACTTGAGTTTTAAGACTAGTATGTAGACTACATCTCGTAATAATCTCAAATAAAAGCAGCCAGTTTACATTGTAATTTGAATCGATTGTAAAAGTTACATTAATGAGGATGGTTGGTCAGCGCTAACTATATAGTATCTGTGGAATAGAGTGAAAAGAATGTACCTTTCTGATTGGTCAATTCCAAAAGTGATATTTTACACTGTGAAGGACATTGTGACACAAAATGGAAAAAGTACAGTATATGTTAAGGAGATTTACTGGTCAGTGCTAACTAAAATAGTATTATGTATAGGAGACTACAAAAGTCCGTCAGTCCTTAAGTGTCCTAATGATAGAAATAGTTTTTTAAATTATACCATCCCCAATGTATGTCTTGAGTAAGTCCAGCCCGATTTGTTAACCGAGTCAAACAATTTTCGTTACTAACCTACCCTCTACTTATGTGAAATCCAAGAGCCGCGTTTCTCAACTACAATATTTCTACCTTTATATTTTGTTCTTTATATCCTGTTTTAGAAAAGTTTGACAATCGGAGTCATATAACATTTTAACACAGCATCAAACCCGGAACGAAGTATTCAACCTGACGTAGTGGAGAGATTATATATCTGTTTATCAACAACTGAATGTATGGGGTTTCAGTTGAATACATTTCATAAATTTAACACTTTTTCTTTTGTATTTGAACACCAGACTGAGGCTGCACTATCATTGGTATTCCCCTACTAGATTAATATGTTACCGTATAAAAACTTCAGCCAGGCACTCGAACACTCCATGATCAGTTGGTATGACATTCTTTCTTTTAAGGTTGTTTACCAATTGGATGCCATTTAGACCCCATACCTGTCCCGCCATGGATTTGGGCTCGAATGAACAGTATACGCTGGTCCAGACTAATGGCACCAAGTGTAGTTCCTCTCTACAGAACAGGTGCTCCCTTTATCGACATAACGTCAAGCACAAGAGGAGTCGATTCTTCATGTCTACAACGTGAGTATACTATCTGCCTCGTTTAGTTTTAAATTCGTCCCTGGTATTCGATGAACAAAAATAAAAATAGTAACTGAAGAAACAAAATCAAGAGAAAAATCATCAACTGATTGTCAAAACTTAGTTTATACTTCTAGATATTCTAAATACAAGCTCATTTACAAATCGGTTGTGCAGTTATCCGTTCCTCTCTTGGACTTCCATCTACTAGCATTACACTCAGCACAAACATTATTTCTCAACGACACAAACATTACAATTCTTCACAAACCCGGGATATTTACAACTTAAGACAAGAAAACAAATCACAGCATCAGAGGAACCAAGGAAATAATGAAGAAGAAGAAGAAGAAGAAGAGCAAAGGGAGAAATAATAGGGGAAACAAGCAAAGAGGGAAAACAAAACAAAACAAAAGAGGTCAAAAAGACAAAAAAAGGAAACACAATATTCACAAAATAGTATGGGGAAATTGTTTGCTCCAAAAAGATTATTTTTTTGTTTGTCAAGGCCGTAAAATAATATCGGTCACTAACGATTAAACACAATTTGCAAGTTTAAAAACAAGTACTGGCACCCCATAGTTGGAAATCGAGTAATTTAATAATTATTTACTGATAGGAGAAGATACACACAGAACTTTGTTGTTGAATAACTGGATTTTAAAGCATGTCTTATCTTTCATTTTCCAAGTTGTAACGGATGTATTACAGACTAACTCACAACAAAGAGTTTCGAGAGATCTAAGTTGAAAAATAATATGGACAAGTATTACGGTCAATATCACAATCTCATTAGGAACACCTGTTCTCATTATCCGCTTCCTATTTAAAGGGAAATCGTGTAAATCATTTCTTTGTTTATTTTCTTTAGTTTCAAGGATTTTTAGTACCATTTATGTTAAATCATGCTTCTGTATTATCTTGACCTGTTGAAACGCCAAATAGTACTACGTTGGTTTGCAGGATCTTATCTATGTAGCCAAATAGTTTCGACACCATGGGAAACATCGTAGCCCCTTTCCGCTCTCGATAATTACTGAATCTGTGTAGCGTTGGCCTCGAAGGTTATAGGTTCGTTGATGGCTATCCACACGGAAATGAGAATTAGGGCTAGTCAGTAAAGCGATCAAGTTTCCAGTGCCTTATGGCAAATCGTCTGGGGCACGTAACCCACGTTTTGTACTACAGATGTTCATACTTGCTTTAACATAAGTCTCAAAGACTGGGTATTAACGGGTTGTCTGCCTGGCAATTCACAGATACACACTTACAAAAGATATATAATATTTTAAAAGTGTTAACCATCACAGTGCTAGAGTACTATGAAGATGAATCCAGTAAACGTTCCTTTTCATCAAATATTGCTGGTGATTTTTATGCCATAAATATTGGAAAAGGAAAAGAGATAAGATTCTTCTAAGAACCATTTAACACATTCAGATATATAATGATGGCGTTCTGTCCTGAGTGACAATAATATAAGATACGACTTGCATCTTCAGAAATATTAAGCCATCATACACTCTTGTTCCTCATTTTACATCTCCCTATTTATCTACAGTATGATAGTGACTTTGTGTTTGAAACGGTTATGGACCGTAAACGGCGTTGTAAGATCAAGAAAAATAGATATATTATATGTCTTAAAAGAAAAAAAGACATAAAGGAACAGAATCTGAACTTAGATTATGGTAGAACAATGAAGTGAGCGTGAGCCGTGGAAGGTAATAGGCATAGGGAAAGCCATCGACCGGAGGAGGCTGGACAGAGCAGAGGGAAAGCCATCGACCGAAGGAGGCTTGACAGAGCAGAGGGAAAGCCATCGACCGGAAGAGGCTGGACAGAGCAGAGGGAATGCCATCGACCGGAGGAGGCTGGACAGAGCAGAGGGAAAGCCATCGACCGGAGGAGGCTGGACAGAGCAGAGGGAAAGCCATTGACCGAAGGAGGCTGGACAGACAGAGGGAAAGTCATCGACCGGAGGAGGCTGGACAGAGCAGAGGGAAAGCTATCGATCGGAGGAGGCTGGACAGCAGAGGGAACGCCATCGACCAGAGAAAGCTAGACAGAGCAGAGGGAAAGTCATCGACCGGAGGAGGCTGGACAGAGCAGAGGGAAAGCCATCGACCGAAGGAGGCTGTGTACGTGAGTGGCCCCAACGAGCACGGATATGGGGTTGGCATATCCATTGAGGTAACAGGTTTCACGTTCTTTACCGTGTTGGACAAGACCCGTGAGGCTGGACAGAGCAGAGGGAAAGTCATCGACCGGAGGAAGTTTGACAGAGCAGAGGGAAAGACATCGACCGGAGGAGGCTTGCCAGCAGAGGGAAAGTCATCGACCGGAGGAGACTAGACAGAGCAGAGGGAAAGCCATCGAACGGTGGAGGCTGGACAGAGCAGAGAGAAAAAGCATTTTTTATATGAAGGCTATTGACCGGATGGCATTGTGAAAAGGAATTTACAGAGAGTTTAGTACAGCAGAGAGCCGAGCATGAGACGAGAGTGGACCAAAGGAAACCCGTCGGACAGAGGATTAGAGGGGGGGGCGTAATTATAGATGGATCCAGACAGAGTTAACCAATGGAAAACTATCTCATAGAGAGCATAGGAAAGGCCTGAGGAAGAACAGTAACAGTATTATGTCAAAACAAGGTATTTCATGTTTAAAAGTGATTAAAGTCAATTAACAAGTACCCAAGTGGCAGGGTTTCTAGTCATCGACGATGTTGGATGTTTAAAACGAAAATTGGAACATTTCCAGCATCAGGTTTGAATCTACATTGTTTCTGTTTTTCCTTGTGTATATGTATACCACGTGACACTGTATGAGATATTATTTATGATACTGCAGATGATATACTGAGAAATGATACATATATATTAATGTATTATTTTCACCATCTTATAGCTAGTGCTATCTATGACGTCATATATATATTTGTGTTTGTTGCTGAATAGGGGTGTAAATGCTCTCCATTTCAAATAAAACCATTTTACAGATATTCTGTAATGGGTTATGTTTTACACAGTTACAAGGGACCCTGCTCCTCTGTCAATGCCACAACATGTACCAACTTCGAATGTAAACGGTCGTGTGTAGCTGGATACCATCGGACTTCGGACGGCAAGTGTGTCAACACAGGTAAGTGTAAATAGGTCACCTAAAAAGATAAGAGTAGCATACCGCTAAAAGTAAATTGTTGACAGGCATGCTCAGTAAAGCTCACCTGGATTTAAGGTCTGTTTCCTGCTATAAAAGCGTGAACACAAGAGCTACATATTTGGAGAGGGAAGAAATTGTTTCATTTGCTCGACTAAAACTCCCTGTAATATAATATGGCAGTGAGAGGTTTAACGACAGTTGTATGATTACTACTTAACATCTTTTTACTCGTTTCGTTGCAGTAACACTTCATTGCTTCAATGGCGGATCACCCAATTATAACTTGACGAAATGTGTGTGTTCCGCCAACTTCACGGGCGATCAGTGTGACATCCGTAAGTGGCATCGTAACAGACCTTTTTATTCACTTGATTTTATTTTTATTTAATTATTTCTATTTATTTTATCAAATAAATATTATGTTTAATTTCGGGGTGTTTTTTTCAATCGTTTAAAGAAATATAAATATTCATCAAGTAATCTATGTGATAAGGAAGTTGTAATTTTCATCTCCAGCTATCTGCAGTCCTGGCTGTCGGAACGGTGGAGTTTGTTCCCTACCTCCCGATTCCAGGTGTTTCTGTCCAAACTACCTGACGGGGACCACGTGCGAAACACGTACGTCCATCTTTCTCTATTTTCATTTCATCAAATTTTATTGACAAGATGTCATAATCAATTAGATTGAATAACAGGCAAAGCCTATATAAATTCTCTCCGTCAAATGGCCAAAGTTGAATAAACAAGGAGACATAATATTTTAGACATGTTGCAAATGAAAAAAATAACACAAAATAATTCATAATAACACAAGGCTAAGGGGAAGTAACTCATGAAGGAAACATCTCACACACACACTTACACACACATACAAGTACATATACAAATACATTTATTTCAGCATATACACTATCATAGACAGATATTGGCAGGCTTAGACCAAAAGTCCATGTGCATATATTGCACAGGTCACTGCTACCAACAACTGTCACAATTAAAAATAATAAATTCATTTAATACATATAAAGTGTAATTATTTACAATGTCATGATAAGTACACGCAATAGACAGTAGTCATGCTCGACTAGAATCTCCTGGATGGAATATAGAATATATAGTATATTTTTGTATACCATCATCTTTCTCTATCATAGCAGTGTAACTCGCATCGTTAGAACCAGCGATATCAATCAAAGCTTCCCTCACCCACATATTTTGTTTATAATAGTGTTTATAAAAACTCACTTCAGATTTACTTATTTGTTCTTAAAGTGTGGTTGATAAAGGCAACGACATACAAATCAAACACTCGTGTATTTCAATTATAGCACTTATATGACATCTTAAGATTACTTCCGTACGGAAAAGCATAAGACATGTGATAAATGTTTATTGACATCTGTACATTATCAATGTGTTGACAGCCGTCTGTGGATCTGGCTGCAGGAATGGAGGAGAGTGTGTCTTCACAGGCACGACTTCCGAGTGTCTCTGTCGTTCGGGATACATAGGGTCCAAATGTCAATTTAGTAAGTAATACATTCTGTGTATGCATCTTGGTTACGCAGGGTATGAATATGAATGAAATAGGTGATTGTAATGCTAAGTCCGGATTATATAATACAAAAAACTGCGAGAGGAATGCTTGCAATGTGATGCTAACAGTTTTTATACTCGTGTAGATAACATAAGGAAAATGTATCAAATTGTATTTTGAAACTAAAATTGTGCCCTTTATTCATAGGGTATTTCTACAAAATAAATTGCATTCAGGATAATTTTAGCGTACACAATGAGTTGGAATTAGGAATGTCTTAAAACAGAGAAAATAGCACTTCGCCGATTTTTTGAAGGTTTTGAACCGCTATTTGTTGTTGTTGCTTTTTTTTACATATTCCACTTCTGCGATTAGAAATGTTAAACATCATGGAAAATCTGTCAGAATTGTACCATTTTAGGTGGCGTCATTTATATTTTGGGATATTTCAGTGTAATAAGGGGTTCACCTTACAAAAATATATTTATGTAATACAATTGTGAATGGGATAAGTACTAGCTATCATGTCCGTCAATCGCCCGATATATCTAGGGTTATAGGCATATCGAGATACTTTGGTTTATAAGGGGTATGGGAGAAGAACCTCTATATGTCTTCTTTTTTTATAATAAGTAATAGTATATTATAATGAAGAATAAGGTAATTAATTCTCTCTGTTTATTGTCTGATATGCCTAGGGTATACCTGTGTGTGAGGAAATCCTGTAGATGTCTGATATGCCTAGGGTATACCTATGTGTGAGGAAATCCTGTAGATGTCTGATATGCCTAGGGTATAACATATGTGAGGAAATCCTGTAGATGTCTGGTCTGGTCCATTTTTTTTCAACAAGTCATTCATTGCTCCATACCATTGGAATGCAACAGCAGGAAAACCGTAAAGATCATTCTGTTCCATATATAAATATTTTAAGTCTGCAGGTGGTGCGAACAGCATGGGTAAATTTTCTTGTTCAGGAACACAACCACATCCCCTCGTCTCCGGGAACCAAACCTACGACCTTGCCAAGAAAGGCGGTCGCAATACTGACTTTGATTTGCGCCCCCAGAGATTTTACTTATATGGTGCTGAGGTGGTATCTACTTCAATCTCATTAATGTTCGACAATGTCTAAAATTTTAGAAATTAAATGTGACCATCACGAACAGGTTGATCTGAACATCATACGCATTCATCTATTGTAAATAAGCTCTAAAGTTGAGTGAAATATGGGTGTGCAGGTTTACATATGTGACGAATTCATTGCCATATTCGTTCTTACATTAATGTTATAACTGACGAAACTACCTGCAATGGTTTTTTTTCTCTTTTTAAAGTACGTGTTCACTTTTCTGCAATAAAGGTTTGTGCCGTCGTTTGATCTATAAACTGGGTAGATGTTAACACATTAACTTCATTTCAGCCATCTTAAGTATTCCGGAAGTTGTAAAGTTACCAACGGTCGCGCGGCTCGATGCAGCCCTTGGTATTAACTATCTAATGTGATATCCTTGTTCAATATCGGTATAGGTATTAGATATAGTAGTTGTGCCACAAGCTTAGCTCTAGGTACTTGCGTCGGCTATTAGAGGAAAAACTATTAGGATATTCGAATTGCATGTCCTTTATTTTGTACACACATTTTGTGCATCAAAAGTAACAGAAATACGTCTGCCTCACGCATGAACACAACTGTTGTTCAATGACTTGAAATTGGCATGTTGCTATCTGCTTATCAAGTGCACACACTATTGCACTTTCGTGTCGTCACTGACTGCAATATTATGTTCAGTTCATCGACCATTATAGGAAATCATCCCAGTAGATATTACACCGACATCACTCTATAAGCCTACGCAAAGACTCTTTTATCGAAGACATAATAACGGTTACAACAGGGAAACCCGTAGTAAATTGTATGGTATGTCAGAGGTTAACAATATCCATGTTGTATGTAGGTAATGCACAGGAGACCTTTACCTACTACAAATGCAGCAAAGTTTCACATCAAACGGTTACACAAGTGTTTGAAACCATGCGCGCCTGCTATGTCCAAACGTAAACAATTCGAAAGCAAATATGTTGAGTACATTAGTAAAACTAGTCATTTTCTATACATGTAAGTTTCAAAACTTAAAATGCTTTTTGTTATTTTCATTCAAAGGAATCCATCAAAAGCACATTTTTTTCAAGTTTATTACCTCGCATCGTTAAAATAATATGAATATAATTATATTTCATTTCGATGATGGCGGTCGTCTTTGATTTCTCATGCCGGGGCATGTAATGCCTCTTGTGGGCTTTGCATACTTCAGATTTGGTTTCAGCATCCGTCAGTATCACAAAAAAACATTTGGCAAGCCCTTTACTGACACGGTTTACTTTCAAAAAGTGTCCTTGTCTTTATTAGGAATTGAATCGCTACAGGAAACTAATTAGAAAATGGCGTCATTGATAACATTGCTCTATATGTTTGTGCTATTTTAACTTGACCGAATGTTTTAACAGCGAGAGAGATATGATAATGACACTTAATTTGTCAATCAGTTAAGTTAACCTGCGCTCAATACTAGTGTGCGTAATTGTGTGTTCTAGAAAAGCACTACCTGCCTTAGACTGGCTACTGGCCCTTAGTTTTTTATGAAGAATTCCAAAGCTGCATTTTACTACTAGCTTATCTCCCCCTTTCGTTTTAGAACTAAGAATCAGACATCCATGTATCAAAACTATTAGTAGTTATTTTTTTCTAAATAATTCAACATTCTAGAGACGACGGAAAGTCTACCTGTGCCTGTATGTGATGCAAGTGACAACATTGACAATGCCACCAGCTGCATATTCAATGAACAATGCGATGAGGGAGCGCACTGCTGTATTATGTCTCCAGGGAATATTTTCGGGTATTGCTCCATGCCCTCGAACAATGTCACATGCATTCACCAAGACGGAGCGGAAGTGGCCGTGAATGAAATATATAACAGTGTACGCAACTGTGAAGCCTGCGTCTGTAAATCGCCAACAAACACTTCCGCCGAACATGGCGATATCGATTGCATATCAGCCGGATGTTCTAGTGACTTCCTGTCTAACCCGTACTGCTGTCCTAATACAACAGGTAAGATAATCTGGACATACTATGAGAGAAAAATTAAGGCATTGCTCTTATCTTCAAATAAGGTATACCTGAGTTGGCTGATTTATAGCTGTGAGTATTGCAATTTTATAAAAATGATATTCTGACCTAAATTTCTGCTAAGAGGTGGAATATTTTTCTATAATAAAATATCTTAACCATCGAAATTGATTAAGTGATTTGCTTCATAATTGAAAAAACAAAGTTTCGGTGATACTTGTATAAATGTTTTCTTCCCTATTTCTCATGTTACAGATAACAAACCCTGCCCACGTGAGTATTACCTTTTTGGTTGTACTATGACGCTTCAATACTGATAGCTTCGACCGAAACATTTCGAAATTGCCTATTATATCGATACTGTATTTGTAAGCTTAACATGGCATTAACACACTTGCTAGCTTCAAGTTTTTCATATCACTATCGTCACATTCAGATATACTATTAATCTCCCTTTCATGAATAGCACATACATGTGTCCAAATTGTCCTCCGGAACTTATACTTCAAACATTCAGACAACTCATTTTGAGCGTTATATCCTATCTATATCATGCTAATAATAGTTACCTCGTTAGCAAACTCTAACACAAACGTGACTTAAATCCTCCGCTTCCTCAGAAACTGGTAATATATGTATCAGGACTTTCCGGCTGTACATGTCCTGTTCACTTAACCATGGGTTTCTGCATTCAACGTCAAAGGATATGATGGTCTTAATATGTATAGGTACTAATATTTCGATGTTAGGGATAGTTATATTTTCAGTTAAGGGATAATAATATTCCGGGTTTGTGATAGTTATATTTCAGGTTTTTGATAGTGATACTGCGGGTTTGTGATAGTTATATTTCATGTTTTTGATAGTGATATTCCGGGTTTGAGATAGTTAACAAACATAATTTGTTTACCTATTTAAGACTATGAGAAAATGAAAAAATAAAATGGTATGTCCGCGTGCAAGTGTTTAACTTTTGCGGGATCGGAAAAACTAAAGGGCTTAACTTGATTCCTCTTCATTACATACTATTTTCATATTTTTGAATATTATAAACCTGTGCAGCAAAAATCCATTTGCTTTAAAAAATTGACACCGTCACATTTTTTGTGATTAATCTAGTGTCTAAAAGATGAAATTTTGATATTGCATGGAGCGCAAGAAATTCCCATCTTCAAAAATGTCGCCTTATCGGTATTTTTTTTTAACTTTTATAAAAGTTCTTCAAATAATATATATCTAGTTTTTTACGCATTTTTCATAAGCATGACTGCTTTTAAAATTGTTCCTGAATAGTTTAATCTAATAAAAACCTGCTTCACTAAATCAAAACTAAACTGAACGTTATTTAAACCTCAGAAGAACAGATCCTAAGGTAGGTGTATTTTGGTGACTATATTCTAAGTTTAGAGGTGGTAATATATCGTGTGAACAGATGAATTGTTTGTCTCGTTCTATTAGATCCTCAGTTATTGTTTTTAGTTGTAAGTAGGTTGCACGACAAACATAAACGCGCTGCTTTTATTATGTTTGTTTTACTCCACAGCGTTAAGTACTAAGAACTTGATAGCAGGTTCAAATCTCCATAATTTTAATGCTGAATATTGATATTGAAGATTTTGCTTCATATCACAAACTGTGCTTTCTAAATTTATTTGTACTGCAAAAGTAGTATTAAGTGACATGGAATGAATTTGTATATTTGCTGATCACTTTCACAATTAAAGCTTTGAAAGCTCCCCTCTCACTCTAACTCGTCGTCGTAGTTTTATGACAATTATAGTGACACGCATTTCGTTGTGTTGTGAAGTCAGTGTATAATTGTTATTGGCTTCGACATTTTGATATCTGTTTTTTCTCGTGATACCGTTGTTTTGATGTAAGTACTTGTATTGTTAGATAGTGCCGTCTGTTTAACGTTTTGGTGAATGTTTGGCAGCTTTCATTGGCCGCTTCAGTTAAAGTTTTGATTTTATATATTTGCAGTGCGTGCTTGTATTAAGGTTGTGTCTTCTGTTTGATATTTGCAATATTCTGCTGTTTGATATTTGCAATGTTCTGCTGTTTGATATTTGCAATGTTCTGCTGTTTGATATTTGCAATTTTCTGCTGTTTGATATTTTCAATGGACTGCTGTTTAATATTTGCAATTTACTGCTGTTTAATATTTGCAATGTTCTGCTGTTTCAGCTCCCGTCATCAGTGGTTGTCCTCGTAAAGGAGAGATAATTAATGTGGATACGTCACCATACCAAAACAGTGCTCTTCTCATTAACACGTTCGAAGCGCATGACTGCCTGGGGAACTCTTTACCCGTCGATTTGAACCAAGTCTTTTTCTCAGCTTGTGAGTGCGACAGCCTGAATATTCACTCTGTAAGAGCAACTTCCCAGCAGGACTTTAACGGTCGACAGGGAACGTGTGACTTCCGGGTTGTAGTCAGAGGTACGGTAATCCTGTCAACATTTGACTAGTCGTTTCTGGCTCTAAATTAAGACTAAATAATTTATTCTGTGCTATAAAATGAACAGATGCAACAGTTTATTGCATTGGTTTCCTTTCAGATATGGCATCCCCAGTTTTCATAACGTGTCCGGCTACAATGTATGTCCGTCAAGGGGAGACAGTCAGCTGGGCCAAACCGGAAGTGGTGGACAATGTGGGAATAAGGCAAATATATCTCGACAACTCTCGAATAAAAAATAACAGCATGGTCATCAACCAGGGGATACATTTCCTCCATTACACAGCCATCGACTGGCAGGGCAACAAGGCCTACTGTCGCTTTCGGATACACGTCTACAAAGCCGGTATGTATTTTGATGTAGGGACCTTAATGTCAAGACGTAACATATACTTGATGTAGGCGGTATTAACAAGTAATGGGTTGATCGGTTTTCGTCCGCAATAATGACGCGTATTGTTATGTTTAGACGTACAGGTCAATTTATAGTGTCATCGTGAACAACAGCAATCAGTCTTGTAATCTATGAACGTATGAACATCTTTTATAATGATACGCATTACAACGTGTCAACAAGAACTCGGTACTGCAATGTATGTAAACGATGTACTTCTGATGTTGCCAACGTCTATTTGAACGGTGTGTATTGATACACTGGACACTTCATAGAGTCTTTGTATTATAATATTTTGTAACTATTTTATATATCTTTGTATCAAAACACATTGCTACTGTAATATCAGGATAGTAAATATCACGATGATACTTCAGATACAGACGAGTCTAATTACCCTCCCCAGCTGAGAGAAAGGAAGAAACATGTGTCGCCTGTAATCATTGGTATGTATAATGTTAACAAACGGTGAACATTTTACTCCCATTTAAGTTGAAAAGGCACTTTCATGTACCCTTAATGCGTATTTCGCTAATCAAAGATGTGCATTCATAAATTGAAATGTATCCAGTTCGCAATGCCTGTATACTTTTTATAATTATTAAGAGAAGAGAATCTTGTATACAACGTCAGATGTAGAATGCTAATAAATATGATACGCCTTTCAAAGAAAAGCAAACCGAAAAAATGTCACCTGTGATCTCGCTCACCAAGTAGTCATGGAGACTGATTTTATCTCCTGTAAAAAGCCTCAGGTCAAAGACACGTTTAGCTGCACTGTTGCTATGTACTCTTTATAATGATAAGGTAAATTTGATTTCTATTGACGACAGGTGTTATGTATTCAATAGATGAATTTCATCCGGATGGTAAAATAGAATTCAAAATATGAATAGTTTTTGGTCATTAAACTGTGACACTCTCCTTATTGTGAATGTTTTTCCTCAGCCGGTTCTGTCGTTGGTGTGCTATGCTTCACCCTGATTGCCCTCGTGATAGCCATGGTGAGAGTTTGTCGTATTCGCAACAGACGTCTTAGGGGAGCTCAACAACGGCAGCGAGTGCAACAGACCTCTAACGATATATACAGCATTTACACCTCCGATCCTCCACCGTACGAAGTTGCCGCCAAACATAAACTGCCCGAATACAGCGTCTCGGACAACCCTCCCAAGTATGATGACATCTCCAAGGAAGCATACAGCAACCCTTCCTACACCTCAACCGAGGACGTCGCTGGGTCATCGGAGGGCATGCGCAGTGAAAGGAGAGCTACGAGCAGCAAACGTGTCACGGTTGTGTGAACATAATAATGAAATTGTGTTCATTGAGTGACTATACAGATATTTGTTTTTATTGTTTTAACCTTCGGTGTATTATTGCATTGTTAGTTTGTTGGGATTCATCATTGTTCTGACGAATTGTCGTGTGTAGATCCACGATGGCCTGCTAAAACGTAAACCACGGACTTAAATCACATATATTATTGTTACTGTCACTAAATATATGTGAGAGCACGGTGTGCGATATCGACAAGCAGAGAATAGTATAGAATTATATACCCTTTGAAAAAAGAAAAGCTTACTGCTTTAATGTATATATACTAATCAAAGAATTATCTGTAAATGTTTCATACACATGTAGACACCTTCGCGATCAAAGTAGTATTTATTGTATTGGCTAGAGGTGCCGACAGGGGTTCATATGGATATTGGTACTGTGGTTGAACGAAACAGATAATTGTTTGTAAAATGAATTATATACATACTCAAATTTGCCTTCGCACATAATCAACAATGTAATATGATTACAAAGGTTTCGAGATATGATATAGGATAATTGCTAATGACAATGATCCTTTTTTATCGAGATAAATACGTCAATTGTTGTAAATTATATTGTTGTCCATGTTTGTTCATTGTAATGTTTCATGTGTGTTTGAATCAACTGATTTCACATATTAAATATGTTCGTATGATTCGTTTATTGTTCAGTAGTTATATGTGAAATATCATAACATGTACCGCTTTTACACAATGACAAGTTTTACTGTCTTCCTCGTTGAGAAAATCGACTTCAGTATTGACGTGAGACAGAATAACTTCCTGTTCTATATGTAATGTCAGCCAGTGTTTGTTCAAATGTTTTACATTTCAGTAAGAAGGGTGTTATGATATGTTTTTCCAAAAATAACAACAGTTCCTTTATATATTTGATAAGAGATGTTGAATATTATTCTTTATTATATGACGTTATATAAACATAAGAAATCGGTTTTAACAAAAACATCATTTCAGCTTCACCTTCTATGAGAGTTAATATAAACTTTGTAAAAAAAACTCACAAATTCACTTAACATTAAAACTAAAGTATTTTCGGCTAAACTTGGATAAAATAATAACGTTATTTTAAAGACTATAAAAAGCATCATACAAATACATGTTACCATACAGCTACAAATAAATCAGTTGTCAAACTTTTAAGATACAATCAGCTGTGTATGTTGTACGTTTATCTCACACAGCCGCTATCTATAACTAAATCGAAAAATGCTAGGGTAAATCTTGTCACCCTATTACGATTTCTTAAAATTTCAAATTCCTTTTTGCCAGTTGAATAACATATTTTCAAACCTGTTATATTCTGACTGATCAGCATGGACAGCGATAGAAAACGAAAATTGAAACCAAGATATACATAAATACATACGATTACATATGGATTGATGTCATCAATATTCATAATAGACATATGGTCAGTCGCGCCTTTAAGTAAAACAAGTTAGCTAGTGGTAACATATGGTGATTCCAAACTTCAGTTAAAACACGTTAGCCAGTGGTAGCAAATGGTCAGTTCCGCCTTCAGTTAAAACACGTTAGCCAGTAGTAGCATATGGTTAGTACCGCCTTCAGTTAAAACACGTTAGCCAGTAGTAGCATATGGTCAGTCCTGCCTTCTAGTAAAACACGTTAGCCAGTGGTAAAATACGACCAGTCGACCAGTGTCTCATTGTACAACATTTTAACTAATGACATCATAACGCCAGTCATTTAATTAGTAAACAAATCCGTCGTGTATACGACACGCTAGCCATTAGTAACACATGGTCGTAACAGTTCAGCACAACAGTTAAAGCGTAAGCAAGTGTTAAAAACGATTATACAAGAAACGCAATCAGGTTTTTTTGCCCCTAACCTTTATCTAGCTATCACAGCATGGATCCAGTATAACGTTTCTTAATACAGGTAAGCGTGATAATATTCAGAAGCATGTTTATAGTTTGTGATGATGAAATGTCTTTTCGAAGGATTATGTGAACGGCATATTTTTTGAAGGTTTGTTATTATTTGGTATAGGGGAGAAGATTATATCGGTTGTTATAGCAACGTTTTCTTCTGAACAGGACTCAAACAACACAATGGCTTTGTACTAAAGAAAGTGGTGTATTGCTATATTATCTTTCTCTAACACTGATTAAGGTGCAGCTAAGCCCATTACAGCTAACATATGCATAAAACTACTTACACTGGTTAAACATGACTGATTAATAATGGATCCGTCGTTTGTAAGTTTCATTTGTCTATGAAGTCTTCTCCTGGTTGGGCTCTTCGTAGACGTCTTTGTTGGCCACTTATTGGATGTCCAACTCTTCATAGTGACTGGGACTGCTGGGGGCTCCTCTGTACGAAGGTGGGGGACTTTTTTCAGCCTCACGTCCTTTGTCGGAGAGAGTCGAGTGTGCCTGGAGAGAGTGATACAGACTTTCGTCCATGTACATCTGATTGTCGATGCCATCGGTGACAGATGGCACAGCAATACTTTCGTATTCAGCCTTTGTGATGCTAGCCCGGTAGGCGGGAGGAGGACTTCCGGGTTTGTATGAGGATTGTCCACTCTTATCTCCCTTGAAAGCTATATTGTCATATGGCGGCGGGTACATACCCTTGGCGTAGAGCCCGTTGTTGAAGGTTCCCGACATTTTCTCGGTGGTGGGGGGTTCCTGTGGAGATGATGGTGTGCGAAGATGCCGACAATACATTATTGCCACCAACAGTAGTATCAGAAGGACTACGGCTCCTGCTCCTACACCTGAAGTACATACAGGAGATAACATTAATTATACGTTAAATGAGTATATGTAAATTTTTTTATCGAATTGATGAAATCCTAAGATGTCACCTTAATTAATGAATATAATTATATAGAGTACATCGTGTGCTTTGTTCTGTTAAAGGAATTTCAAATCAGGCATGCACTGAAAGATTAAACACAAGTTGTTAATGATCGATCTATTTGTAGTCACTATAAGTTTTATCCGAATGTGTTTTCAAATGGGCATCAGTCATAGAAAAGTTATCAAAGTTAATGTGGAATTGACGATCATACATATACACCTAAGTGTAAGACGAACATACACACCTATGTACAAGTTGTGCTTGCTTTCAATGGTCGAAGTTCTCCTCATCCCGATTGGTAAAGAAGGATCGGTAGTTCCTATCAGAGATATTACAAAGAAATGTTAAATATTAAATCGAAAGTATCTATTTCTCCAACTTTGTGTTTGACGTCATGATTTTTTCCTTAAGTGACTAGTACGGTGGCACCTGGACTCAAACAATCGAATATTAGTGAAATATGAAAAGACAAAGTTTCACAACTTGCATCTTTCAATGTTAAACTATCTCTGAAACGCAATTACAATCCATCATTTGAGGGTTTTATGTTTTTATTTTTGCAATTAGAATGACATTACCATTAATTTGCTTAAAGCTTAATATCAAACCAAATTTGTCAGTAATTGATATCTTCTTTCTGTTTCTATTATAAAAAATAGACGCATGATATAGATACGCAAATGTTCTACCTTTGGTGTAGACTGAGACAGGAATACGACAAACAGCGACGTTCTCATGGAAGTCCTTGGCGTGGTATTCAACGAAATGTTTTCCTTCCGGAAACATGGTGTTATTAGCATATTTACTCCTTAAATTCACCTCCCGGACACCAACGTTGTCAGAGGCTGCAGGAGCCTGCCATATTATCTTCTGGTCAGTGAAGGCGCTGATCATGGAAGGGCAATGGCTGAATCTAGGAGAGTGCACGTCTGAAAAAGTATTAGACACATGATATAAATTAACGAAATCTTATGTAATGAAAATAAAAATAAACAACAACAACAGAAGGAACTGAAGAGTCGCAAAAGCGAAATCATGAAGAGAGACACCAAGACAGAAGGAAGACAACAACTGGGACTGAGAAAACAGAGAGTCAAATAGACCGGGGACCGAGGATACACCAAGATAGAAGGAAGACAACAACTGGGCCTGAGAAAACAAAGAGACAAATAGACCCGGGAGAAAATAAAAATAAACAACAACAACAGAAGGAACTGAAGAGCCGCAAAAGCGAAATCATTAAGAGAGACACCAAGACACAAGGAAGACAACAACTGGAACTGAGAAAACAAAGAGTCAAAGAGACCGGGGACCGAGGAAACCCCAAGACAGGAGGAAGAAAACAACTTGGACTGAGAAAACAAACAGACAAATCGGCCGCGGCCCGAGGAGTCAACAAGACATGATGAAGACAACAACCAACTAAGACTAAGGCGACAAAGAGACAAATAGACCCGGGAGAAAATAAAAATAAACAACAACAACAGAAGGAACTGAAGAGCCGCAAAAGCGAAATCATGAAGAGAGACCCCAAGACAGAAGGAAGAAAACAACTTAGACTGGGGAAACAAAGAGACAAATAGACCGCGGACCGAGGAAACACCAAGACAGGAGTAAGACAACAACCAACTAAGACTAAGGCGACAAAGAGACAAATAGACCCGGGACCGAGGAGACCCCAAGACAGAAGGAAGAAAACAACTTTGACTGAGAAAACAAAGAGGCAAATAGACCGGGGACCGAGGAAACGCCAAGACAGGAGGAAGACAACAACTGGGCCTGAGAAAACAAAGAGACAAATACGCCCTGGACCGAGGAGACACCAAGACAGGAGGAAGAAACTAAGACTGAGGAAAAAAAGAGACAAATACACCCGGGACCGAGGAGACCCCAAGACAGAAGGAAGAAAACAACTTTGACTGAGAAAACAAAGAGACAAATACCCCCTGGACCGAGGAGACACTAAGACAGAAGGAAGACACCAACTGGGACTGAGAAAACAAAGGGACAAATGAACCGGAGACCGAGGAGACAACAAGACAGGAGTAAGACAACAACCAACTAAGACTAAGGCGACAAAGAGACAAATAGACCCGGGACCGAGGAGCCACCAAAACAGAAGGAAGACAACAGCTGAGACTGAGAAAACAAAGAGGCAAATAGACCGGGGACCGAGGATACACCAAGATAGAAGGAAGACAACAACTCGGCCTGAGAAAACAAAGAGTCAAAGAGACCGGGGACCGAGGAAACCCCAAGACAGGAGGAAGACAACAACCAACTAAGACTAAGGCGACAAAGAGACAAATAGACCTCGGACCGAGGAGTCAACAAGATAGAAGGCAGCCAAAAACAGGGACTGAGGAAACAAAGAGACAAATAGACTGGGGACCGAGGAGGTACCAAGACAGAAGGAAGACAACAACTCGGACTGAGAAAACAAAGAGACAAATGAACCGGAGACCGAGGAGACAACAAGACAGGAGTAAGACAACAACCAACTAAGACTGAGGAAACAAAGAGACAAATAGACCCGGGACCGAGGAGACACCAAAACAGAAGGAAGACAACAACTGGGACTGAGAAAACAAAGAGACAAATGAACCGGGGACCGAGGAGTCAACAAGATAGAAGGCAGACAACAACTGGGACTGAGGAAACAAAAAGACAAATGAACCGGGGACCGAGGAGACACCAAGACAGGAGGAAGACAACAACCAACTAAGACTGAGGAAACAAAGAGACAAATAGACCGGGGACCGAGGAGGCAACAAGAGGAAGGCAGACAACAACTGGGACTGAGGAAATAAAGAGACAAATAGACTGGGGACCGAGGAAGCACCAAGACAGAAGGTAGACAACAACTGGGACTGAGAAAACAAAAAGACAAATGAACCGGGGACCGAGGAGTCAACAAGAGGAAGGCAGACAACAACTGGGACTGAGAAAACAGAGAGACAAATAGACCCGGGACCGAGGAGACTCCAAGACAGAAGGAAGACAACAACTAGGACTGAGAAAACAAAGAGACAAATGAATCGGGGACCGAGGAGTCAACAAGATATAAGGCAGACAACAACTGGGACTGAGGAAACAAAGAGACAAATAGACTGGGGACCGAGGAAGCACCAAGACAGAAGGAAGACAACAACTGGGACAGAGAAAACAAAGAGACAAATGAACCGGGGACCGAGGAGACACCAAGACAGGAGGAAGACAACAACCAGCTAAGACTGAGGAAACAAAGAGACAAATAGACCCGGGACCGAGGAGACACCAAGACAGAAGGAAGAAAACAACTTGGACTGAGGAAACAAAGAGACAAATAGACCGGGGACCGAGGAGACACCATCACAGAAGGAAGAAAACAACTTGGACTGAGAAAACAAAGAGACAAATAGACCCGGGACCGAGGAGTCAACAAGAAAGAAGGCAGACAACAACTGGGACTGAGAAAACAAAGAGACAAATAGACTGGGGACCGAGAAGGCACCAAGACAGAAGGAAGACAACAACTGGAACTGAGAAAACAAAGAGACAAATGAACCGGGGACCGAGAAGACACCAAGACAGGAGGAAGACAACAACAAACTAAGACTGAGGAAACAAAGAGACAAATAGACCCGGGACCGAGGAGACACCAAGACAGAAGGAAGAAAACAACTTAGACTGAGGAAACAAAGAGACAAATAGCCCCGGGACCGAGTAGACAACAAGACAGAAGGAAGACAACAACTGGAAAGACAACAACAAACTAAGACTGAGGAAACAAAGAGACAAATAGCCCCGGGACCGAGTAGACAACAAGACAGAAGGAAGACAACAACTGGAACTGAGAAAACAAAGAGACAAAGGAACCGGGGACCGAGAAAACACCAAGACAGGAGGAAGACAACAACCAGCTAAGACTAAGGAAACAAAGAGACAAATAGACCCGGGACCGGGGAGACCCCAAGACAGAAGGAAGACAACAACTGGAACTGAGAAAACAAAGAGACAAATAGACTGGGGACCGAGAAGGCACCAAGACAGAAGGAAGACAACACCTGGGACTGAGAAAACAAAGAGACAAATAGACCCGGGACCGAGGAGAAACCAAGACAGAAGGAAGAAAACAACTTAGACTGAGGAAACAAAGAGACAAATAGACCCGGGGACCGAGGAGACAACCAGACAGAAGGAACACAACAACTGGACTGAGGAAACAAAGAGACAAATAGACCCGGGACCGAGTAGACAACAAGACAGAAGGAAGACAACAACTGGGACTGAGGAAACAAAGAGTCAAATAGACCGGGGACCGAGGAACCACCAAGACAGGAGGCAAACAACAACTGGGACTAAGAAAACAAAGAGACGAATAGACCGCGGACCGAGGAGTCAACAAGACATGAGGAAGACAACAACCAACTGAGACTGTGGATACAAGGAGACAAATAGACCGGGGACCGAGGAGACACCAAGACAGAAGGAAGAAAACAACTGGGACTGAGGAAACAAAGAATCAAATAGACCGGGGACAGAGGAGACACCAAGACAGGAGGAAGACAACAACCAACTGAGACTGAGGAAACAAAGAGACAAATAGACCGGGGACCGAGGATACACCAAGATAGAAGGAAGACAACAACTGGGACTGAGGAAACAAAGAGACAAATAGACCGGGGACCTAGGAGACACCAAGACAGGAGGAAGAAAACAACTGGGACTGAGGAAACAAAGAATCAAATAGACCGGGGACAGAGGAGACACCAAGACAGGAGGAAAGGAGACACCAAAACAGAAGGAAGACAACAACTGGGACTGAGGAAACAAAGAGACAAATAGACCCGGGACCGAGGAGACACCAAGACAGAAGGAAGAAAACAACTGGGACTGAGGAAACAAAGAAGCAAATAGACCGGGGACAGAGGAGACACCAAGACAAGAGGAAAACAACAACGAACTGAGCCTGAGGAAACAAAGAGTCAAATAGACCGGGGACAGAGGAGACACCAAGACAGGAGGCAGACAACAACTGGGACTATGAAAACAAAGAGACGAATAGACCGCGGACCGAGGAGTCAACAAGATAGAAGGCAGACAACAACTGGGACTGAGGAAACAAAGAGACAAATAGATACGGGATCGAGGAGACAACAAGGCAGGGAAAGACAAAAATAGTAACTGATGAGATACTGAACAGCAAAAAAAGAACACTGACTGAAGTTACACAAAAGGAAAAGAGAAAGTACATGATAATATATATCGACGAGGGATATTGTGGTTTTTATTAACGTACCGATGACCTTTACTGTGAATGAGCAATAGGCCATTCTTCCATAAGTGTCAGGCTCCGATACGGCGGTTATGTGATGGAAATCCAGCTCGGTGTAGTTACAGGCGCACGACCTCAGAGAGCCATGGGAAAAGGTCACTTTCAGAACATCCATATTGTGGTCATGGGCTTGGATAGTCTTAAACCTCTCGGTGACGCTGATCATGTTCTTATCTGACTGAACTGCCACTTCTACAGTTTTGGTGGGACAGTCTGAAATCTGTGGTTCTGTGGAAACAACAAATGGACAGAAATAAATCCATAATGTTGAAATAATGAGGTTTACTGGATACCAGAAATTGACATAATGAATAAAAGTAAATATTTTTGCTCATATTTGCAGAATTTGAATTCATCATCATCATCATCATCATCATCATCATCATCATCACCATTATGATCTTCAGCAGCAAACCAAACAAAATGCAACCGAAAATCATTCACACCTATTACCATTCATTTATAAGAAAAACGATAAAAATAAACTAAAAAATCGTGTGAACACAAAGTCGTTACAAAGACCAAGTCTAAAATGTCAGAAAAGCATTACACCTCTTCAAGAATGTGAATTGTAGCGAAGATACAATGAAACATGAGGAGAAACTTTTTATGAATAGCAGCTAACTAGACTTGATGATACTTACCGCGCGGGACGGTACCTGTGTATAATAAAAGACACAAATAGGAATTCAATATGTCCATAACAATAATCTCAGAAAGATATAATGATACAGTTTATGCCTTCCGTCAAATTGACATTGAATAAATACATTTACATTGCACAAATTTCAATATAGATAAACAATGAGGCGCCCTACTGATATCTTATGATATTTCTTGGCTTTTAATGGTGTATGGTCTATTAATGAATGTTCGGCAAAGAATATTTAGGGTTTTTTAAGTCCCACGTTTTAATATATGAATGTTTAACAAAACAATAACAATCAAAAACGTTCATTACATTACATTTTTTTAAATACTATTTTTCAATGCAGGAAACTGCCTGAGACTATTGATTGGAACCACTTACCAGCACAAACCGGACAGCATTTGTCTGCACGGTAGGTGTAATCTGGACAGCTGATTGGTGGACAGTCAATAGTGTAGCACGTGAACTCATCGTCACTCTGATGAAGGATAGACGGCCGGATGCACGTGCAGTTCTCACAAGCACTTTTACTAACTTCCTGGCCCTGTGTATAGTGATTGCCATCGTAAAGGCAGGTAGGCGTACCCGGAGTCACGCAGAATTCGCCGTAATGAGAGAGGCAACATTTGTCACCGGTCGAACAATCGTTGTCAAAGGCACACCTCGTGTTTGTTGAACTGAGGTCACCCATGTCCCTGATGGACGGGCATGTGCCAGGTCGTACCTCTATAATCAAATACAAATGGAAGGGTCAGATTGAATTTGAAAATCCGATATATACCGCACATTAGACGTGTGGGTGTGAGTGTGTTTGTGTGTGTGTGTTGGACTGTCATTACTATATAAAAGAGAAAGATTTCTCTTATCGTATTTAAGAACATTTAGCTTCTACTGAAATGTTACAGTTACCGCCCTTTCTCTAGAGAAAGAACAAAACAAATAAAGGACCGATGTTTTCAGTAAAATGAATTGGCTTTAAGTCACTTATTTATACATTTCAATGTTTTGGCAAAGCGTACACTATGCATCAGATTATGATAGTGCTAATAGGATGCTACTTACTGTGTTCACAGGCTCTGCCGGAGAAGCCTGGGGAACATTCACAAGAACTACAGTACCCCTGGGACACACACGTGCCTCCGTTCTGACATGTCTCGGGACATACAGCTGTAACAGAAATATGATAAATGTGAATGAAAATCGTTTTAACGCACACATAAGATACAAAGAAATTTCAAATCTTTACATATATGCATGAATAAAAATGTTACGATCCTATGGCCCAGTATTGTGATAGGTTGTCATTTACACAACTGTTAAAAATAGAATGTAACTTGATGAATACAGGTTATTTTTCAGAAATAGATCACCTCGTCAGCATCTGTCACGTGCTTCACACTGACGCAAATTGCCAAATTAGAACTGGTAATAATAAAGTAGCAAGGAATTGTTCGATGTGTTTATTTTTTTTCTAAATATCCATCGTCCCATTGGTCAGGGGTACTTACGCTCTTTACACTGTGCCCCGGTGAACCCTTCTGTGCAGACACAGGAGGTGTACCCGTTCTCTGCGATGCACTCCCCACCATTATCACAACGGGGACTACACAAAGCTGTAACATATACAGTTAAAGATTAGTATTCCTACGAGGTGTATACGAGGTGGAGATAAGTAGGATTGCCTTAGCTCTAAAGAGAAATAACATCTTTATTGTCTATCATACTTCAACAGTTAGTATGGTGAATACTTCGAGGTAGGTATGGGATCGTCACTCGGGAGGATATTGGACTCTAGGGTTGAAAAGAGATGTGGTATCGGAATGGTAAAGTAGATGGTTCGGGCCATTGCTGCCGTTTGTTTAACCAGTCTTACATTGGAGATAATACGTTTCGAAAATAATCGAATCTATTATTCCATTATTTTCATGGTGTAAACATATCGCAGTTTAGACTTTTAAAACTTTAGAGTACGTTACAATATGATGTCCAGCCGAACTCGGCTTATGAGACACTATAAGTATTAATCCTTACATTATGTACATCATACATCAACATTCCATAAATAAGACAATTATACTTCTTTGTAGTAATCTATCATTGTAAAACAACAAAACGTAAAATTAATCCCACAATTACACTGCAAGTAGTAAAATATTAGATGCTAAATGGAGTGGGACTAATTGAAAATAAGGAAATCGTCATAATGCTTTTCAAACAACATACAGATTTTAAAATGCCATGTTCTATTTGATTCATACCTTCAAGCAGAATGAGCTATTCATTTGTACAAATATTGATTTTATACGATTATATCAAAGTGTGAATGCTAGAACATTTCATACAGTAATCGTACCATTTACACATTTGTCATGTTTTTTCGCACCATTGCTATACTGGGTCTGTTACCTGTTTCACACTGCCTGCCGGTGAAGTCATTGGAACATATACAGTAGGCACCATCATGGTCAGGGGTACCGCCATTCTCACATAGTATATCGGGAGTTACCGCTGAAGGTAGAATTTTCAGCAATGTTCATTAAACGTCAGCATGAGCGGAAGGAATAAAAATAGAAAGACATCATAAATTAATTAAACCCCAAGGTGAAAACAGTTGAACAAGCTTTTCTACACAACATATTGTATTATATATATATATATATATTGTGGAACACTTTTCATACGGATTTCCAATATCTTTTTTTACTAAAATTACCTAATGAGACCTTAGATGGACAAAATAGCCTAATGGGAAAACGATTTTTCGACATATACAGTTTTACCAAATAAGTGCTTCCTTTTTCGTATTTCTAGTGATTCTCTACATACATTTGGGGGTAATTTGTTATTTCTAGTATAATCAGCCATAAAAACCTGAGGTAAAAGTTCCTAAATGAAACCAGCTTTATAGCCGGTTAGTACTCACGAACTGTACAGCGACCGAACTCATCCTTCACCCATCCCTCACAGCAGACCGTGTAGCAAACCTGTATCGTCACGGAGTACACAATAATCTTGTAGCACCTGTCGGAATATCATATAATGTTTAATATTGAATACACAGTATACACAAACAGGTATGGCGTATTCTGATTACACTTAAACAAAGAGAGCTCTCATGGGTTTGTAAAGTAGTCTTACACTGGTGCATTGCCGTACCTGTTATTGGTCCTGTGGTCCTCAGATCCGTTACATGGGTGTACACTCAAACGCGTCAACGTCCTCACGGCCTCCACGCAGTTGTCCCACACATGATTCTCATTTCCGCCTGGACAGTTATTGTCATCTCTATCTTCGTCGCTATCGTCGTCCATATCATCATCGCTGTCATCGTCGCTATCATCATCGCTGTCATCGTCGCTATCATCATCGCTGTCATCGTCCCTGTCGTCACTGCTATCTTCATTGCTATCCCTATCACGGCGTCTGTTCATAAAACACACAAATATGAATATAAAACGAGATGATAATTTATGTGTAATGCATTAACAATAAAGCAAGGCACATAGTAACAAATAATGTTACTTTCAACTTGTCATGTTCCTGTAACGGACGATGGCAACTGGACATAATCATATTGACAAACAATGCTTTTTCAAAAAATCTAAATTTTTGGCTTCATGAATCAGCGAGCTGTAAAAGGAAAATATATTTTCATTGTTCCAGTTGTTAGCTCAAGTTCCAATGCAGCATTGGAGCTTTAGCCAGCAACTGGAAGAACAAAAATATACCTATGGTGGGCATTCAAGCTTGAGTTAAAAACTGAGACAACAAAAGTATACCTAGCGACCACATTTTTCTTTTACAGTTTGCTGAACCATTAAGCCAAAGGTGTTTCGTCAAAACTCAGATAAATATCAGGGTAAGAAAATCTAATTATCATTTTTGAGCCTGACTTTCCTAAATAAACCCCCAATTTCTGTTTATTCATACAACATAACACCGAGATGATTATGCTTACACGCCGTATAACTTTTAGGTTCTTGTTGTCTACTTGATGTTATGTATCGTTAGATTTTTTCTATAATTATGAACGTGCAATAACAATTATTTGAATAACGATTTTCAGGGCATAATAGTACAACTGATGAGAGTTAGCAAAAAACTTCGATGTTATTTACAACTGATGACGGTAAATATAAATGTCCAACTCTGCTCACAATCATTAGTAAGTATATATAGTCCCGCTACAACCGACGACTGTGGCTAAATCTCATTAAACTGTCTGCCACTACTGAGGGGATGTTTGTAATGTGATATGAACACATACCGATATAACCACTTCGATTTCCATATATTTTGCCTCATTTCTCCTTTCAGCTTCAGCTCTTTTAAATGGCATTTCTCCAGTATGTTATTCATTGTATATCTATTTGAAACCTATTGAAGTATATTGGATATCAAGTTTGAAAGTGACAGTAACTTGTATTTAAGCTTACAACCGTGTATTTGCCTTTTGTGCTAAGAAAATTGTAAAACCTATGAAACAGTTCCCCATATACGACTGAGCACATACAATTGATTGTTTGAACACGACATTGTTTTCCAGTTCCATACAACACCAGCCAACATCAAAGTGGAGGATGTGAGATATCATTATACTCTATATAAAACACAATGGTTACAATACGTATACATAACAGACTAGCAATCTATGATGAAACGTTATAGAAGCAGATCTAATATTCATTAATATTTCGTGTGTACTTTATTTTGTATCGTTTACATTACTTGCATTTTGCAAGTGAAAGGTCAACGCCACCATCTGTCATAGGATTGAGGCACTGGCTGAAAAGCTAATCATATTGGAAGATGTATCATAATCTAGTATATAATCCTTTAGGAACTGGAGAAATGAGAGAAAATTTCCGTAAGTTTTTTATTCGTGCAGCATATCGCAAGCTTTACAAATTCTTTACAAATGTTCACACCATTTGTCTTTCTAGACTAACATCACTTCAGCTCTCACAAGGCACTACGAGCCGGTGAATACATACTCAGCGCAACAAAGGTCTGATGTTTATATCATTATGATAGTTGTGTATTGAACAAGCACACGCTCACTAATTTATACATTCATGACAGTTCTAACACACCAATACATCATATCATAAACAACATTACGTAATGTATTGTGGTGTTACCATGGGAATGCGGCCTCCCGTACGACACCCCTAGGGTCTTCAATAAGGAGTGCACGAGGTGAATGCTATAACCAGACTTACCTTACACGCCAATCCAATATAGACCTAATATATGTATACAGCTATGCTGTACTACCTTGTGCTACCTCCCCCCTGCAAATACTACATTTGTATATTTCTCTTTTATAGACCTTTTACTGAGATATGCCTCTGTCATGCAGACACTTTATTGAGAAACATTTCTCCCTTGAAGACCTTATACTGAGATAAACCTTTTCTTGCAGACAAAAAATTGTGAAATGCCTCTCTCTTAGAGACCCACTATTAAGATCAACCTCTCTCTTGTAAAACCTCTTTGTTAGATTAAACTCTCTCATGTAGACCCTATATTACAATAAACCTCTATCTTGTAGACCCTTCATTAAGATAAACCTCTGTCTTGTATACCCTTTATCAAGATTAACCTCTATTGTGTAGACCCTTTATTTATATATACATCTCTCTTGCAGACCATTGAGTTAAATTTCTCTCTTGTAGACACTATTTTAAGATAAATTTCTCTTGTAGACCCTATTTTAAGATAAATTTCTCTGATAGACCCTATATTAAGATAAATATTTATATTGTAGGCCCTTTATTGAGATATACCTCTCCCTTGTAGACCCTTTATTGAGATATACCTCTCATTTGTAGGCCCTTTATTGAGATAAACCTCTCCCTTGTAGACCCTTTACTGAGTTATACCTCTCATTTGTAGACCCTATATTGAAATATACCTCTCCCTTGTAGATCAATATTTAGATAAACCTCGCTTTTGCAGACCTGATATTGAGATAAACCTCTCTCTTGTAGACCCTTTATTGAGATATACCTCTCCCTAGTAGACCCTATATTGAGATATACATCTCCCTTGTAGATCAATATTTAGATATTGAGATAAACCTCTCTCTTGTAGACCCTTTACTGAGATCTATTTCTCCTTTTTAGACCCTTTATTGACACCAACCTCTCTCTTATAGATCCTTTCTTGAAATACATGTCACGCACGTACATCAGTATGAATTCAAGCTGCCAATCTATAAGATAATTTGTGTAAAAGGTCTACAAGCGAACCATCATCAATACTTTGTTTATGTGTGCATAACCAGTGAACTAGAAATTGCACTTTTCTAACATTGAATTAATAGCAGGGGCGAGATAAGTGGGAAAATTCGTGTTTGCAAGTAATTTCAATCTTTTTCTCCGGATGGAAAATTAAACTCGCCACTTTTTTTCTTTTTTTTTAAATGGCTAACATTTCAAAACACAGCTTTGTTATTGATTTTGACTCAATATGCCATAAAAAAAACAGACGTTAGATTGTGTTCTGCACCTGTCATATATGTTAAATGAAGAACTCGACACCTTACAATTAATGTATTTGGTAGTGATTTATTCGGTATGGTTCGGTAGTATCAGTTACGTCATATCCTCGAATCACTTTTCTATCGTGACATCCTGTTGTTGGAGCAGTGTTACTATGACACTGCACTATTTTTACAATACAATCTCACATAATGTAAATGATAATAACTGTGTTGTAACAGACGAGTATCGTAACCACGGGCGGGCTACATGTATAGAACCGTATTTCCATGCAAGATAACTTTGAATAATAATCCACGCCTAACTCTTTATTCATTGTGGAACGTTGGCCTATTTGCTAAGTTAGTACATCATTATAAAAACTTCTTGCTGGCTTGTGAGTTTTTCAAATCTGATCATTTGCTTTCAAGTGTAGGTTTTGACACGAATCCTTTCGTCAGTGTTTTAACTGGCCAACTATCGTACAGTGTAATTTGGGTACTGAATTGGAGAAAAAAAAATGTATACATGTATATGATAAATTAAAAATGTAATAATACACAAATTCTGCATGTATTTTACAGCCGTATGAATAATTTTTCATCTTCAACTGGAGGCTAGAAAATGTGTCATTGGAATCTTACAGGATTCCTGCCCGTCACACACGACAAAATCAACATGCTAGGGTATTCACGGTAAGGGTCGTTTTCCGAGAATCAATCACCATCCTGATTTAAACTAAGCGGTAGCCACCCGTATACCTGGCACACACTGTCTACTTCCTGGTGTGTATTAAACTACATACGTTTACTCGCTCTTCCTGGTGTTTTACTTAAGTACCTGAGTTGCATCGGCATATCAGCTTTATCATCTAGTATACATACAAAGTACCTGACCGATGTGGTTTCATTTAAAAAGAAATTTAGTATTAGAATGTTGTATCGAAGGGAAAACTAGTTTTAAAATTACTTCAGCTAAAAATACTAATTACCGGCTGTGTACTATGTTATAACCCCAAAACAGTAGTCCCGGTTTCTACCCGGATCAAATTGTCACGTTTCTTTTCATTAACATTGGACTGTTGCCAGAACAGATGACAATCGAGAACCGGTTCGTAAAATATATAACTAGACATTAACACATTGTATTGTCAAGAAATAGCAAGTTTAAATCCGGGTTCGTGAAAAGTTGCCATGAGAGAAGCGATCGACACACCTTATTACAAAACATTATATGACGCATCTGCTGATGTTTACACTTACTTCTTGTCTGAACTTGGTCACTACATTAAAACGTATAAACCATCCATCAAAAGTTGCCTCATGGCAAGTTCTAATTGCTTGTGTGGGCATAATATAAATTCAGCATTTTTAATTCCAATCAATATAAATGTGCATATATTCAGCGAATATGAATACAAACTGCTGAGTATTAAAACACAGCGCACAACTAAAACATATAACAGGATCGAAGCTGACCATGACAGAAAACAGGATCGAAGCTGACCATGACAGATAACAGGATCGAGCTGACCATGACAGATAACAGGATCGAAGCTGACCATGACA